ACAAAACTCCAGAGGGGATGGAAATATCCCAACCCACTCCCTACAGACCCAAATTAGCAATTTTCTTATTCTTCGTAACCCCTCTGGAAATGTAAACTATGTAATATCAGTCTAAAATTAGGAGCAGAAGTCACAAGAGAAAAGTCCCACTACTTTTGAGAAAATGTTTTCTTAGCCTCATCCCAGCATTTGTTCTAAATCAGAACATAGCAGTTGTCTTTCAAATAATTATTTTCTCCTAATACTTGGGGGCAAAGTACTTTTGGAAGAACATATTTTTACTGAATTGCCAAATGCTGAAATCCAATCCCTTCACCTGGCTTTGCATCTACAGGATATTCAGGGGAAGGCCCAGAACACTTGAACAGGAAGAGCCTGTTCCATGGACCCAGGATGCCTTCCTAATCGAAGGGCACCTTTAAAATAACAATGGCAATAATGTTCCCTGTGGCCAGCACAGACTGACTGGTTAAGATGTGCCAAGAAACTTCCTCAAGTGTTTTACAACCACTATTACATTTAATCCTCATGATGACCCTATAAGATGGGTATTATCCTATTTTACATACGAGGGTAATTAAGGCCTAAAGAGGTTAAGAGATTGGCCAAAAGCCATAGGGTGATTATAGAACAAGGAGGTAGCAAAATTAGAATTTTAACCCGAATCACTCTACTTTCAAGTCCACACTAGTATGTTGTCTCCCGTAACAGTTGTACCTACTATGTGCCAGACACAGTCCTAAGTGACTTATATAATAATCTCGTCTCAATATTCCCTCCCCAACTTTGTTCCATTCTTTCCTTTTATTCTCCAATGCAGATACTCATAGTAGCTTCAAGTCTGTCACACACTGAAATTTTCTTGTTAAACCGCCAATCCCCTTTGTGGCAGGGTCAGTGTTGATAAGAATACGTGTGTCATACAACACTGTTTAATAAATAAATCCTAGTAGACTCCTAGAACCCTGGGCTTGTTATGTGACTTCTTTGATCCTCAGGGTTCTCATCTGTTGTTTGAGTTGATTGGCTCCTCTGAGCTCTAATTTCCTAGAATTCTATGACAGCTGCAGAGCCTGTCTGGAAATGAGTGTAGGATGTGCAAGTTTTGATGCGTGGGCATAGAAATAACCTTGCCATCAAGGCAGAAGAACTTTGCAAGTTAGGGGGCTGTGAGGCCCTGGTTCCTAGGAGCAGCAGGGAATGGACAGTGGGAGGTAGTGGGGGAGCCAGAGGTCTTCAGCTGGCCGAGAGATTGGGTCAAAAGATTATAACCTGATTAAAAAGAATGAGGTGAGTCACCACCCTGAGGGGGCAGAACAAGCACATGGCACGTGTGACCCCAGGGGCAGAGCTAGGCCTACAAGATGGAAATCACCAGGGGGATGAGGAGGGGCAAAGCTTCCTGTCTCTTAGGGCAGTTGTTCAGGGTCTGCACAGCCATTAGAAGCATTGTAGAGGGGATGTGACGACTGTTGGAGAGCTGACGTTCCAAAACGCAAATTTAGTCTTGTTCCTCTGCCGCCTGGCACCATCTACCAGATCCCCGCTGCCTACGAATACTGTCCAAGGTAGCTCCTTACCATGGAGTGTGAGGCTTGTCACAATCTGTTGCTGACCTGGCCGTGTCATTTCCCATCCGCTAAGCTCTGGCAGCCATACCTAAATTCTTGCTGTTTTAGGAACACATTATGCACTGTTACACTTCTGTGTCTACCCACATCCTCTGTGAGTCCTTTTTTACATCTCTAGGCAGTTGGTCACTTGTGCTGAGTTGTAATCACGCATTTGACTTCATCAATAGACCGTGGTGCCCCTGAGGGCAGGGCCTAGTCACTCTCAATTTCATAGGGTGGCAGGCTTGACTGGAGTACGAACTGAGAACATATTTGATGAATGAGGTGGGATTAGATGACGCCTGATGGTCTTTTAAACTCTTCAGATCCTGCTATTTTATTTAATTTCAATAAACATGAAATGGATGGGCAATCACATGGTAAGGGTTGGGGCTACACAGATAGTAATAGTGGTAACAACGTAAACAAAGACAATAGGAGCCAGGCCAAGGACCAGAGTGAGGTGAGCAAAGAGAGAAATAGGGAGGTGGCTACCTAGTGAAGAACAGGCATCTTGGTCCCTTTGTCTCATAGCCCCAAACTCTTCCAGTGAGTGTGTGGGGAAAGGGGAGGAAAGGTAATGCAATGGGGGATATTCCTGTTGGCAATGAACTTTGGTTCTCTCAGGGCTTAGAACTGAAACTGGCTTTCTTTAGGAGTCCCCGCCCCTACCTCTGTTCCCCAGTAGGTTATTTCCAAGGGAATAGGTATCTGGGGGCCAATTTCCAACCCCTCTCATCCTGGCCTGCTTTATCAGCCCCAAACTATTAGTAGTCGATAGCAACCAAGTCAAGGCCTGCCCACAAAGCCGATCTGCCTTCAGTAGCCTCAAGGGAGATGAGAAAAAGTCATTGGAATCTAGTAGCAACTAAGTAAGCCTGCCACAGCAGCCTCACCCCACCCCACACCTCCTTCCTCAGTGGCATTGATGTAGCTGTCCCTCTGGATTCTGCCCCCGAGCTTATAGTTGAGAATTTGCAGTGTGACAGCTAGTACTTCCTGATTCTCTTGAGCTCTTATTGAAAAGGCCCCAGTCCTCTTACTCCTCACCGAAATTTTCAAAAAGAAGTCAGAAACTCAGGTCAGGCCAGTTTTTTTATTGTGGCTAGAGAAACACGGCGCGCAGATATGGTTTCTTCCATATGCACCCTGCTGGTCCTGGGTTCCACGGACAGCATGGTGACGGGAGAGGAGCCAGGTGACAGGCAAGGGCGGAGCCGAGGGGAGGGCTCTCGTGGGAGCTTTGAAACCCTCTTTTTTGACTTTTGACCAAAGTTACATTTCTATTTCGTTAACACAAATCCATAAGTGTGTTTGTGTCCGGAGAAAGTACTATGAATAACTGATGATATAGTTGCTGATTAAATCATCCTGGGGGAAAGGGAGACGGAGAAAGGAGCAGGAGCTTTGGAGGCTGTATATGATTTGTCATAAAATATTTAGCAAATGATCGTCCAAACCACAGGGAAAAAGTCAGAGAGATGGGAATTTGAGAGCTGCCAGGATTTAAAAGCTATTTAATGCTAATCATCAGTGCCAAAGAGCTGAGAGCATCCCCCTTCCTTCCCACATTGGCAGCCACAGCTCTGAGAATGTGGAAAGGACTTGGACAGGCTGCGGAGCGCTGGTGGGAGCTGAGAGCGAGCAGCGCGCGCGCTGAAAGGTTTTTTGTTTGGGAAATCTTGTAAACAAGGGATTCCTCTGAGGTGGAATCCTCACCTTGTCTGCTGCTTGCCTGTTCGTTTTGTTGTTTTTTTTCTCCCTAAGATCTCCCGGGTGATAAACTCTCCACATGGAATAGTAGTGAATCCTCTCATCAGCCATGTGGCTATTTCCAAATATCCTGATGTTTGGCATCAGGGAAGGAAAGAAAAAAATAGCCATATGAGGATCTGCATTTGTCACATTTCTTCCGAACGTGTTGGTGTCTCTTAGACAATGGCTTTAGTCGCTAGTCTGACAATGACGTGGTTTCTCTGTTGTTCTAAGGGTTTGAGCTCAGAAGTTGTCTCTCCTAAAGGGTTAGGGAACCTACATTTTTAGGGCTGGGGTCAGGATTCAGTTCTTTAACCTGACTCTTTGGAGATCTGTTTATTTGGGGGTAAAGGATGGAAAGGTCTTTCCTGATATTTTGGCTGGAAAGCCTCAACTGTCAAGTTATGTCCTCCTGAGTATCAATACCATAAGGAAAGATAAACCAAGGGAGAAGCAGCAGGGAAATAATTTAGGTCAGTGGAAATAATCATCCTGGTGAACAGAGACCTCAGGATAGCTTGCTTCTAAGGCATTCTTCAAAGTCAGAGAGTTCATGGTAAGCAATGCTAGTGAATTTGGTGGCTACAATCAATGAACCTAGTAATTGTGCCAAGAAGGACCCTGCTTTTAGGGACCCTATAACCTACTTGCTGGGGAGGCATGCATTACCTAAACAATATGGATAATTAACCTTTGAGATCAGAAAAGTAAGAAATCGCTGGGCAAGGCGGTCCCAAGGACGACAATAGGAATAATTCTAGCAAAACTGCTCTACATACATTAGAACCAGAACTTGGTTCTTCTGTCATTCATGTTTTGTTTGGTTTGGCTCCTTCTTCTCGTTCCTGCTGTTTCGCTCTCCTACTCTCCACCTATCCCTAACCCAACACATCCTTTGAGGCCCACTGCAATGAATTTAGAGTCACTCTTCACTATTCCAATCTTCATTAATCTTCACTTCCTTTGAACTCTTAATAGTTCTTAGAATCTGAACCATTCATTTGGCAATGATTATACTGTGCATTGTAATCTGTTTTTATGAAAGATTAATCTTTTCTCCTGAATTCAACTGTAGGTTCTCTTTGGCAGGTGCCAAATTTTAAGACATTTCTGTGTTACTCACAGTTTCTAACAGTTCGTAACTTGCCATGGGTATTTGCGTATGCCTTGGTATCCTGTTAGTAGGTTGCTTTTGGTGAGTGGAAATCTTGCTTGGGGTTATGGAAGAAGGTTGAGTTCTTGGTAAACCTAGGGATATGCCCCCAATCAGCACATCCAGGTTAAGAAACACAAGCTCTGAGCAGTTTTTGGTCCTGACATTCCCTCTCCCTTCTTAGTTGTGATTGTTAAAGCAGATGGAGGGTTCAGAAAAATTGTAAATTGAGTAAAAAATTGATTTACTGAGCATGAAAGTTGATCAGCAGTTCCATTCACATTTTTTTTTAAATGTGTAAGAAAAAAAGAAGAAAGAAAAATAAAGGAAGGGAGGAAGCCAGGCACGCAGGCAGGCAGGCATGCAGGCAAGCAGGAAGGAAAGAATGAGAAGACAGAAGACAATAAAAGGAAAAAAAGCCCGGGTCGGGGTGGGAGGTGGGGAACACATCAGACTCGGTCTTCAAATACAACCACCAATTTCATAACGTGGTAATTTTTAATATTAAAAGTAAATTGTAAATGTATCTTTATAAACAATATGCATAAAATAGATCTATTATTCTAAAACCTTTTCTTTTTAAAATGCTTTTTCACAGTAAATTTTTTAGGTGTCAGATCTTCCCTCAAAATAATAGTGCAACTGGAAGAAGGGAAACATTGTCAGTGAATTAGGACTTCTCTGCTAATACAAGTCCTTGTATATTTCCTGTAGGAGTGGGTGAAGACTCATGTCTGTCTCTGTTTTCTTTATCACTTGCAATAGTTGCACGTGTTCTGTTACAATCTGTCTGAGGTCTGTCATTTTCTGGAGCAGCTTGGCAAAGAGCTGAGAGGACTCTGGGTGGTTCAGCTTGAGCTGGAGCTCCAAAGCTTGCAGCAAGTTGTCTTGTATGTCCTCAATGGGCTTCACATTCAGCAAACCTGGGCGGTCTGGGGAAGCAGAAGAACAGGAGGTTCAGTTACAAAATTCTCTGGCCCCATGTCTGAGGCATATTCAGCCAAACTACTCACCGATCTTTTTTTGTTGGGTTGTTTTGCTTTGGTTCTAAAATAAAGTTGGAAGGAAGGGTAAGGAGATAGCGGGCAAGAACTGCCAATAGGAAGATGGAATGAAACCAAGATTACCAGAGCCCTTTCCAGGGGCATTGTTTTCCCAGCCAGCACCAACTCTGTGTGATCGGTTGACATAACATGGTAGCAAGGTAGTCTCCTCCCCAGACTGAGGGCTCTTCTGCCAGGATGTGTCTACTCACTCAGAAATCTCACATTCAACTTCTGCTCCTTCCTGATGAGTCTATGTTTTATAACCTCCACTTACTTTTTCACCACAGGTTTAAACATGATTTTAAAACAAGCTTTGTCTTCCTTTTTTGCTTAATATAGCATGTATATTTTCAAAGACACAAGACACAGTTTTTAAATACTGTTGCAGTTTAGAAGGATAGGCTCTCCAGATTTTAACAGAGGTGTCTTCTGAGTGGTGAGGTTACAAGTAATTTTCACTTTCTTCTTTATACTTTCTTTCCTTCTTTGAATTTTTAAATGGTGAGCTTAAATTACTTCTACATTTTTTAAATGTTTTTCTTCATGCGGAGCTTGTTAGATGTATCCTTAAGTACTTTATAGTATCCTTTACTTTTTTTACTTTACTTTCATTCTTTACTTTATAATGTTCTATACTTCTTTTCATTATATTTTCTAATATACCCCTGCTGATGTTTAGAATTATTAATTTTACTATACTGAATCTATTTCAATGTCCTGAACTCTTGTCAATTCAAATAGTTTTTATCCTGGATTTTTTTTTTTCTATTTTGGAGAGACAATTACATCTGCAGATAATGGCAGTTTTATTTATTTCTTCTTTTCCAGTATTTACACTTCTCATTTTTTTTCTTGCCATAGTGCATTAGCTAATACTGCTAATATGGTATTAAACAATAGTAGTAGTAGGAGGCATTCTTGTTTTATTGCTAATCTTGAAGGAAACGCTTCTAATGGTTTACCACAAGTATAATATTTACTATATGTTATAGTGGATATGTTTCCCTCCTGGCTTTCTAAGAGTTTTAAAAGTTTCTAATTTGTGTAGTCAGGAATGCTGTTGCATTTCATCAGAGGCTTTTAAATTTTTTCTACTGGAAGAGATAACTACATGGTTTTATTTTAATTGAGTATAGAGAATTATATTAATAGATTTCCTTGTGTTCTTGTGCTCATTTGCTAATAATATACTTAGGGTTTTAAAATTTGTAACTCTGATTGGTCCAGGGTTTTCTTTTTTGTGCCATCCTTTGCCTGTTTTGGTAATAAATGCTAGCTAGCCTTATAGATTGAGTTGGGAAGGTCCCCCCCCCCCCCGCCCTGTTTATATGTAGTAATGATCTGTTCCTTGATCGTTTCTTGGAATTCATTGGCAGAAGCATCTGAGCCTGGTGGAAAATCTTTGACTACCTTCAATTTTTCTTCTGTAGATTTTAGACTCTTCAGGCTTTGTACTCCTTATAAGTAAAATTTTATTAATCCATATTGGAATAAGGTTTTACATGATATTCTCTTAGAATCTGAAATTGTATTATTTTTATTTAACTGAATGAATGCTTTTTATTTGTGTATTCCCTCATTTAAAAATCTGATTTGCCAAAAGCTCATCTATTTTTTTCCCTTTTTTAAAAACACAGCTTTTGGTTTTACTAATCAACTCTGTTTTTTAAAATGGTATTTTGTTTTCATTTTAACTAATTCATTCTCTGAATAGTTTTTAGGTTTATTTTTTCTTGTTTTCTAGTTTCTTGAATTGAATGCTTAATTCATTTATGTAGTTTTAGTGTTTCTCATTTTTTCACAGATACATTTGAAGCTCTAAAATTTCCTCTGAGTGTCACTTTGGTTTCATTCCATAGGCTTTGTTAAGTAGTACTCTCATAGCTCTTTTCTAAATAGTCTATTTTACTATTTTGATTTCATTTTTAACCTAGGGGTTATACAGAAGAGGGTTTTAAAATTTCCAAGTGGAAAGTTTGGGTGTTTGTTTTTGTTTTCTAGTTTCTAAGTTTTATTTCCTAATTTCTAAGTTTGTTGCATTGTGGTTAGAATACAAGGTTTTCCCATTAAGGCTCACCAGAGGGGTGAAGGGTTTATGTACAACATTTAGGACATTCACTTGATATCCTGTATTGATTCCAAATTTTAGCTCTTAAAGGCTATTCTCCCTCTTGTTCTAATTTTAGCTCTTCTCCCCTTCACTGTAAAGCACTGTTACGAGTTTTTACTTACCTTTTAATATCCTTCATCCTCTGGCCTCAGTTTCTGTAATCACCCCTTTGTTCCAGCCATATGAAGCTATCTCCATACCAAGTCCCTCAAACGTCCTATGTTCTGTCATGACTGTGCTTAGGTAGGTTGTGTTCCTCCTGTCTGAAACAGTCTTACCTCCCCTTCAACCTATCTTACCGACTTCAACCTATTCTTCAAAATATAACCCGTGTCGGGCCGGCCGAGTGGCGCATTGGTTAAGAGCTGGCTTGGGACGCCAGAGGGCCCTGGTTCGGATCCCACATATGAGGGCCAGTGACACTACCCTCTACAGCTAAGATGCTGAACAACAGCTCAACTTGGAGCTGGGCTGTCATGAGTCGCTGGTGATGGTGTAGGCTGCAACTCCTGCTGCAGTGGGTTGCCATGGGCTACCGTGTGTGGCCAGCAGCCAGCGTGAGTGGCCAGCAACCGCCGTGAGCGGCCGTCCAGAAGCCAGCGACTGATCTGCCTCGCCTGGGAAGAGCGCAATGATGGTGCCAACTTGGGCCAGTGAAGTGGCGTCCTCCACAACTAGACTGAAGAACAAAAGGACAGCAACTTGTCTGTTCCCCTTCCCCCAATTCCCCAATTAAAAAAAATATATATATATGTATATATATATATATATATATATATCCCGTGTCCTTATGTCCTGGGAATCTTCCCTGACAGTATCCCTTCCTATCCCCTTTTCCAATCCCCTTTCTCAGGACCTTGTAGCACCCTATAAACCCTATAAACTAGTATAGTAGCTGACAATTATTGACTGGTTATCATTTTCCAAAGATTGTGCTAAGTAAGGGCTTTATACACAATATACCATTTAATCTTCACAACTCCATGAAGTCAGTGCTTTAGGGACAGGAAAACAAAGATGTAGAGGAAGGAGAGAAATCTCGCCCAAGATCTGGCACTTGCCCTTAAATGGCAGAATTGAAATTTTTTTTTTTTTTTTTAGCTGAGCCATCCTGCTACCTGTTGGTAGTTCAGCGGCTGCTCAGCTCGGGCTAGACTCGAACTGCTGTTGCTCAGAGCTCAAACTCTTGAGCGAGCTCTTAACCAACTGAGCCACTCGGCTGGCCCTCCGAGTTGAAATTTGAATCTAAGTCTGTCTGACTCCAAATGCTATACAGTGTTCACCTCTCATTATTTTGTATTATAAATACTGATTTTCTCATTTATCTCCCAAACTAGGCCATGAGGTAGCAGAGGGCAGAGACTATGTCTTGATCATCTGTGATCAAGTGGAAACACAGGAAGCACTCAGTTGGCTGAGTTAATGAGAAGGTTGTTCTGGCTAAGAGTCCTGGATTGAAAAATACAAAAGGAAACTTACTTTTGGTTTGATTCCCCACCCCCCACCTCCCCAACTTCTCTAAGATATCCCATTGACTGGAATAATATACTTTCTTTCCTTTAAATTTCAGCATTTAATTTGGGAACCATCAGCAAAAATCTCAAACTCAGAGAATGAGACAAATGATTGCATCCTGGCCTAGAGAAGCATGTCCCTGGAGGAGTGACACCTTTCTTACAGCTGCTGTCCAATAGCGGACACCTCTGACACTTCAAGGAAAACCAGACCCTGGATCGGTGTCTTGGGTTTAACAATTGCTGATCCTCCCCTTGAACCAATGATCCAGTTTTCAAAGGCCTGTGGGAGCACAAACGCACATGCATTGGAAGCTGGCAGCATTTGGTGTCAAGACAGGTGCTAAATGTGGCTCCTCCATGGGCTGGGCCTGCACACCCTGCCTGGAACCCTGTGCTCACGGAGGTACTGGCTCCTGGGAGCCTTTTCTCCTTCCTCCTTCCTCTTGAGCAGCATCAGTGGGGTCAAAACCTCTGCTGAAGAGATTACGTTGAGAGATTTCATTTATCATGACAGTTCAAACAACCAAACCCTAAAACGCAGCTGATAAGGTTGCTGGAAACACTTAGATTTACTGCAGTACGATGGAACTGGCCCGCCCATCTTGGAGTGGAGAAGGGTCTGGTTTGGATTTTCAAACCCCTTTTTGGCAAGTTATGATGATGTGATGAATGAAATCTGGCTGAAGGGCTGAGATTTTGTGGCCATTAATTTATATTTTCTCCAGTGACAAGTTAGATTGTCTGTAGATCTGTCCCACTGTCCTCCTTACTGAGCTTCAGTCAAAGCAAAATGGAGTGCAGAATAGAAAAAGCAGTCTATTCTACTTTTAGATCTTTCACTAACCAGCTCTGTGACTGTGTTAAGCAAACTGGGCCTGTTTTCTCCTCTGTAAATGAAAACGATTGGACTAGATAGATGATCTCTAAGACCCTAATTTAAAAGTTCTAAGCTTATTCTTATTTGTAATTCCCTTTATATAATGCACATAATTAACTGGGTAAATAAACTCAAAATCTAATTAGAGAAGTGTACTAACAGGCTTACACATGAAACTTAGAACACTTGGGTTATATTTAGGGGGAAAAAAGTTTCCTTTGGTCTTAAGCAGTCCCCAGGGTCAAGGGCAAAGGGCATTTGTCAGGGTTGCTCCCCACCCTCTACCCTCCAATCAGCTACTAGGCCTTCCCTGCTCCCCTCTCCTCTCTCTCTCTCCACTTTCCTTGTACTCACACTCAGACCTTTACTGAGCTGAGCTAGG